AGACATGAAATCAGATGAGCTCCCCCTTCCCTCCAAATCTGAGCAAGGAAATTCTGTTTTCTATCTGTTTCTAACATAACATGTAAAGACAGCTAAAGTAATGAGTGTTGCACTTTGTCTTTTCTTTTCTTTTTTTTTTTTTTTTTTTTTTTGCTTTCCACTGTAAATGTAAATGTGCAAGAAGAGTAAATACAAAACCCTAAAATTTACCACAGGAGTGCTCGCATGTGCTGGTTTGTCTTTCTGCTGTCCAGCTTTCCTTTTAGCGTGGTGTTTTATGTCCAACATACTCATAAAAGCTGCCCTTTTTTTGCTTCTAGAATTCATGGTATTCAACAGCAGTGGGGATAAAGTTGTTTTAAACCGTATCACCCAAAAATTTTTACCAGGCCATAAATTTTTCCCAAGCTCTGTGCCCAGCAGCCATCACATTTATCCAGTGGGTGAAGTATAATTCATAACCTGAAGAGACCCTCCAGAAAGACTGCTCTGATGTTTTCTTTTTAATTATTAAAATTCTTATTTTTGGTCTGATTTCGTTTTGGCCTGGCCTAATTCTTTTTAACTAGTATCCTGTGAACCCTATTATTCATTGATTGAATAAGAACCTCAGTCAATTTTTAAGTGCAGTATGTTTGCCAGAGAACAAGGATGGTCACTGGAGCCTAGTAGATACAGCCAGATCCAAAATCTTCTTTACCAAGGACTGCAGTCTCAGAATTCTGCTAATACATCACGCTGTTCAGGACTTTGGGTGAGAAAGGTACTTCCTACATGGAGCCTGTCCTGAATGCCAAGCAATCTTCTCAGCCCTTTACCTCCATTTAACCCAGTTATTTCTAGCAGGCATGCTGTGAAGGAAAGCTGTTAATATCCCCATTTCACAGATGTGGAAGCTGAGGACAGAACTGTTTTATAATTGTCCAAAATTACACTAAAAGGAAAAAATCTAAGTATGCCTATGTAATTTACTTGGCTTGCAGGAGTGGCTAACCTTGCATGAATGTCATACCTCTTCAGGGTAAGGAAATGGGGGGAAAACCCTAAGGCTAAAAAGCCTCTCTGAGTCAGGCTCCCCTGGGCTCATAGCCTGGCTCTGGCACTTGATACCTGTGTGACTTTGAGCAAATTACTTAACCTGCATACCTTAGCTTAGCGATTATGAAATAGGGATAGTAATATTAACTTTGAGAATGAAATGAGTCAAAAAAAAAGTAGTCCACTCAGAACAGTGCCCAGTCCAGAGTAAGCGCAAGAAAAGATTGATGCTTTCATTGTTGATTTTAGTTTTTTTCTTAGGTCTTTAAGGCTGGCTCTCATGTTTAATATCTGTAACTACTCTTTGAGGTAGACAGTATTCTTCTTGTTTTCCGGATGAGAACACAGCCTCAGAAAGGTTTAGTAACTTGGCCAAGGTCACACAGCTTAGTAAGTAGCAGAATCAGGTTTGAATTCAGGTCTAGTTGACCTTGTACTAAATACCACATCCCCACCCCTGGGGAGGAGGGGCAGGGAGGCTGTGAAATCTGACTCCTGTGAGGGTTTGGGGCTTCTGGCGGAGAACTCCTTTCCTAGTACTCCATATTCAAAGGAAGATGGCAGTCCCTGCCAGCCTTGGGGAAAACCATGTGAATGATTTCATTTTTGAAGATAGTTTAGTGTCCCAGCTGTGGCACCAGTCTTCTCCTGTAGTGGATCCAGCCTCAAAGGGCCAGAGTGAACCTGAGCATCTGATTTATGCCATAAATGAAGAGATGTGCCTTGTGGACCCAAAAGCAAAAAGGGGAAAGAAAAGCCTGAAACATCCAGAAGCGAGCCCAGGATGAAGTGGGGCTGAGGTTGGGCCACATGGTTGCGCTGAAGTTCTGAGAGGCCGAGGTCCCAGTGTCCCATGAGCAGGGTGGACGGTCTCGTCCTTCAGGCCGGTGACCACACCCACAGTGCCTGGCCCTTCAATCCCCTGGCACCCAGTGGACCTTTAATACATGTTTCATAACGACGCTGCCTTGGGAGGAGCTACGCAAGAGGCAGGAGCCACCAGTAAGCCGGGCAGGAAGGTTCTGTCCTTGGAGGAAGTCGGGCCTCATTAACAGTTCCAAGTTCTACACAGGCCCTGCCAGATAAGCGTCTGCTGAGACAGATAGAGGAAGGGGGCCTGGGGAACCTACCAGAGGTGGCCTGGATAACCCACAGGGGGCCGGCCTGGCCTCAGCTGCCTTGGACTTGTGGGAATGTGATTAGCAGGGCGGGGAGCTGGGCTGCTTGGACCCAAGTAGGGGTTCTGGAAGGCATGGCTCAAAATAACTCCGGTTGCCTCAAAACTAGGAGCAGTAGCCTTCCAGCTGTCCGCCTCCATTTGGAATCTGCTCTTCTCCTGCCCCACCCTTTTAAAGGTTATGAAAAGAAACAGCACCCCACAAACCAGAATAAATAATATGAGTAGTCAAGTAGTTTTACAGCAATAGTTGGGTACATTTCTTTCCTTTAAAAAAAAAAAGCCTTCCTTGGCCTTGATACATTTCTTCAATGCCAAGTTCACCAGTGTCTCATGATGATGGGCTGAGTTCGACAGTACCCCTGGTGGAAAAGCCATTTTTAAAATGAAACCACAGTTTAATAATATGAATTGCAATATTGATATTTTAAAAGTTCTCTGTTTCTGAAGAGCCAAGCAAACTGATGAATTTGGAAGCTGGTGACTTCTGCATTAGTATTTGTGGAATCCTTATTGCTCACCCAAGTCATGGATTAATAGTAGAATCCTCGAGTTTCAAGTTTGAAATTTAAAAAAGCTGATTTTCAGTGATTTGGGCTTTGTTTGCATATTTGAAAGTCATTATTTGCCTTCTAGCCTTTGGTTCTTTGTTAAACCGTGTTGCAGTGATAACACATCTGCAGTTAGCTAGGACACCACCACCTACCTTGGACCCTGAGAGAGGATTCTTTGGGGAAGTAGCCTGATGAAGGTCCCTTTCTGCAGGACTTTCCAGAGCATTTAATCTGTCACTGTGTTCAGTGAATCTCCACAGGGAGATGGTATCCAGAGTCTCAGATCATTAGCCCACAGAGCAGTTGGCAGGGCTAGTCTGGCAGGAAACACACTCTGGGAGCCACTGAGCCAGAGGCAGTCTGCCCTGCGGAGCTGAAGAAACCCAAGGACTTTTTAGAGAACCACAGGGTGAGTGCCGGCCATAAGGACACACCAGAAGATGGGAGCACACCTGTCATTCTGCTGTTTGATCAAGATAAGCCAAGACTGATGGAAACAATCACGGAGGTACAGGACGTGAGACAGCAGGGTCCGGTCTTAGCCCTGATCCAGTGTAACAGACCTCAAGGTCTGTCTCTTTCCATGAGCTGTTTGGTGCTAGAGCACCTCTAGCTGTAGACTCCAGTGAGCCCAGAGCATGATGCCAATCAGCATAGCTCTCATCCTGCTAATAATGTAACCCCCTGGGTTAAAAACAGAGCAGGGCAGATCTGCAGTGAGGCGCCCCGAGCCAGCGTGCAAGGCAGAGAACTTCAAAGCCAGGCCTCTATTTAGACAGCTTACACACTCAGGAATCTGTCATGTTCTGGTGACAACTTGAAGGTCATATTTGTGGACACATCACGCCAGTGATAAATCACTGTGTGTTTAGTTGAAAAAGACCTGTTCAAATTCATTCTAATCATTTAGGCTGCACACATTTTTTAAACAAGGCATTTTTGGTTTAACGTGGCTTTGCCATTTCAGAATGTATTTGATTTCTTTCCCTTTTTATTTATTTGATTATTTTAACTTTCTTGACTTTTTTTTTTTTTTTTTTGGCCAAGGGTCAGTTCAGACACATAACATTGATTTTAACACAGCAGGAGATGGGGCTCGACTGGCCAGCTGTGTCACAAGGCAAAGCTCAGGTCTTCTCTGGGCAGGCTCTGCCCCTGCCTCTGTGAAGCTGTGGAAGGGGAAGGTTGGGGGGGCAGGGGAAGCAGATGGATGCTTTCCAGGCTCTTTTCTGGCTCTAGGCTGCTGTCTTTCTCTGACTCTTTCTCCCCCTTGTATTCGAGGCATTTCCACAGTGTCTTCTACTTGGTAACACTTCCTGCATTTAAATGATCATTTATTGCCCCTCATGGTGACCTAGCTAGACTCCTGGCTCCTCAAAAGATGGGGCAGAACCTCGTTTACATCCGTTTTCTTTCTTTCTTTCTTTCTTTCTTTCTTTCTTTCTTTCTTTCTCTTCTTCTTCTTTTTTTTTTTTTTTTTTTTACAACAAAACCTAGTGGAAAAGTAGACAGTCTAGCCCTGGCCTGTGACATGACTCTGCCTCTGGCTCGGTCTTCTCTAGTGTTGTCGGGCCAAAGTCACATTCACTTAGCAGCTGACTCAGATCCTGGCCTCATAACGTTACTCTTTCCCAGGTGACACACGCACGGTCGAAGGGAGGCAGCACCGGTCCTTTGGTCCTGTTGGTAAGGGTCCCACAAGGTGCTCCAAGAAACAAGCCAGCCCCAGACCTTACTTCTCGGCTGGGTAGCAGGTGGTAGATATGAGTGACTAGCCAGGGGCTGGATGACGCCAGGTGAGCTCTCAGTGAGCCTATCGGCTGCAGCCACATGGCCCAACGTGTGCCTATCACAGCACCAATCTGCCAAGTGGTTTTCTTGCCCTCAGATGGCTTCAGAGTGAAATGTCTTCCATGATAATGTTGATTTTTTTTTGGCTTCCTGTAAATTTAGTATAAGTTTCTGTTCGTGGGTGGGTTTTGTTCTGTCCCATCTGCGAGCTGCCCTGAAGGGGCAGATGGGGTAGAGAGCGCTGTGGACCTGACCCGGGGGCAGTTGGGGGGAGGGAATTGGTGACTTCTTCCCAACTCCAATTTTTTCTCAGAATGAGGAATTACGCTTGGAACCAGAACACCCCCAGGGGTGGGGGGGGGTTTCACACAATTTAAAACAATCAGTTTATGCACGTGGCTAGGTCCCGATATCTATAAGAAATAAGGTTGGAGAAAAATCCAAACAGTGAACTTCTGGCCTGGCCTCTTCTTACACAGCTCTGGTTTCTTGGAATGATTAGTAATCCTTGCTTCTTCCACTGATTTGTCAGCTCATTGCCTAACAGAACTTCGTCAAGCATGTGACATGTGTCATCTCTGCCTAAGAAGACATGGCTACTGTCCCCACTCTGCAGATGAGCAAACTGAGGCTCCCAGAGAAAATTACTGGCATTGCTTTGTACCCTTAATTTGGTACCAGGAAAGATGGGAAAAGATGAAGAACATTTTAGAAGCTGGTAACCAGTATTTTGATTCTAAGGATGCTCTTAACTTCATTAAAAAATACTCTATTTTTCCCTTCAAATTCCCTGAAAACTAGGTGTTTCTGCAGACGTAGAATCACAGACCCTGACATTTCACAGATGGAAGGGTCCTTACTTCGGCCCTTATCTCTCTTTCTGACAAGATAAAACCAAGGCTCTAAGAGTTGAGTGACAGAAAACGAGTCCTTTTTCTTGGCCCAGTTCTCTTTCAAACTTTTTTTTCTAGCCAAAGCAAAGAAAGAAAATCTTAATATAAACCCAGTATATTAACAGATTTTAGAATTTTTTTGTAGTGCAAGAGGGGGAAGAAATGGGTAGGAAAGTTGGCCCTACTTTTCTCAGTCTCCCTTCCTGTCACCAGTGACCCAGAGGTGCCTTCCTTGAGCTCTAAGCGTTCCAGGGAACATGGTGTGAAGAACGCGGTCATAAAGTACTTCGCCATACTAAGGACAGATAAATCTTACACACAAATCTGTGATTATATCATCTCTGCATGTCTGTAGCTTGTAGGCACTTGCCAGGGACTGCTCCTTTAAGTTAGGAGCGTGGCTTAGAGGATGTCTACTCTAACTTCCCCAGGCAGAAATGCTTCCTCCATCCCTCCCCTCTGGAATCCGGGACTTGGGAACTCCGACTCAGCGGGAAAGCCTCTCCCTTTCTTCAAGCTGATTAACTCAAGTTGTTTTAGATTTCTTCTTCAGACACAGCCCCACCTGGCCTCGCCATGAACTTTCATCCATGAAAGATTCCCTCTCACCTGACAGCTTACCAGATATTTAAAGAAAATAACTAGAGGCCCTTATGTTTTTCTTTTGTGACCAGTAACCGTTGATTGTAATTTGCCCAACTCCAAGAAGTCCCATTGGCTCTCAAGGCTGGAAGAATTATACCTGGAAAGAAAGGATGCTTGTCTATTTCCATTTATAGGGGAAAATAATCTAGCCCCATGTCAGAGGAAGGAATTATCCTCTGAGCCAGCTGGAGGTGGGAATTCCTTCCAGTTGTAGAGACTGTTCACAGGGTGGACACAAACCATTTTATTGATGACTGCTGCAGAAAACATTCAGGGAAGAAATGAAAGTCATTATTTTGGTAATAGAATGCTTCCCTTCCTTCATGTTGAATCTAGTAGATGTTCTGGTCTTTCCTTCTGTATAAAGATGATACTGGGTGTCTGCACAGCACTCAGCTCTTATAAACACCTTTAAGAAAAGCAGGGTTGGGGTAATGATCTCCATTTACACAGAAGGCAACTGGCCCCCACGTGTGTCTGGAGTTCTACAAGGATCCTGCAAGCCTGGCTCCAAGGGTTAGCCCAGGTGCCTCCTCCCCTAAGGCCTAGAACCACAGTGAGAGCTCTGTCTACTGTTGTGTTTGCCAATATGTTCATTCATTCAATAGGAGTTTTTCTTAAGTACCTGCTCTGTGCTCGTCCCACATTGCTCTTCAAAGCAACCCTTTTCTGTAGAACATCCATTATAGTCTCTTGAGGTTTCTTTGTACCTCTTGGGCCAGATAATCCAAATTTCCCCTTAACCCGTTTCCTTTTGAAAGGAAAGGTCAGGAGAGCGAGCTCTTTGTTTCTCCAGGGCCTCATTCTTTAAGATTGGCTTAAATATAACTAGTGAATCTGCATTCAGGGGAGTGTATTGTCAATTTATTCTTGAGTCTTGCCTGTCTCTCTGAGACGCTATTTGCACATTGTAGTCAAGGATAGAAGCCCTTTCCTTTTCAAATAGCACGATGACAAATATTCTCTGCCTTAATCCCAAAGATCTGTAAGAGCCTATAGAATTACTGGAGCTTGCATTGAGAGCCTCTAAGATTCTTACCCTGCGTGGATAGAGAAAGGCTAAAATGTCTTACACATGGATAAAGGGAAGAAAGCCTTTGCCACAAGAGGCCACAACTCCGTTGTTAAGTGATTTTTTTCTCCCCCCTAGGAGTCCTAGAAAGATTTCATCTTGCATTTTCAACAGGATGGGCGGGGAAGGAGGAAGTCAAGGCAGTCTCTTTCAAACTTTCTCATTGTTCATTCATTCAACAAACATTTGTTCAGTGCCAACTGTGAATTAAATCTAGTTGTGTCTGCCCAAAAGCAGGTAGCCTAGTGGGAGACCCAGTAGTAATAGCAGCAAAGTGTGCTGGCTGGTGGGTTTGAGGTATCAACTAGGTACGATAGAGGCTTAGTGTGAGAGGCCTTGGGGGAGCTGGCAGGAAACACCGGCTGCAAGGCTGGGCAGGACCCTGACTGCTAAAGCGGGCCTCACACGAGTTGTTTTCTCTCCAGGCTGTAAGGGTGGGCTGGCCATTGAAGATGGAGAGTGACAAGGTCACTTGGGCATTGAGGCTGGCTCACTCAAGGTGATGAGGTTGGAGGCGGGAAGACAGGTGAGGTGACAAATGCCCTTTGCAGGAGAGTGGTCTTGAGGCCTAGAAAAGGCTGAGGCCCTGGGGTTGGTGAGGGGAGACCGCAGTGGGCCTTGAAGTGGAGAATGAGGCAGGGGAAGAAGTTGGGGATGACAGCTGGTTTTTGGATTTGGGTGCCTTCCTGCCATTTACTGAGGGGAAAGTGTAGGAGTCTTGTGCTAGGGAGGCAGGAGGAAAGATGGCACATTCGTGTGGAATAAGTTGAACAGGAAGTGGCCTGGTGGGGGTGTTGGGGAAGCCAAGTGAAGTCTAAAAAAGACCAGGGGAGAAAAGTCCAGTGCTGTCTGCGAAGGAGCGGTGTTTTCTTTGTGTTTGTTTTGTAATTTCTAGCTACTGATACTAGTGTGCACAACGAGTACCTTGGCCCATACCCAGCTCCAAACTTGTCAATAACCTATCCAAGGAGAAAAAGCCACCGATCCTGTCCTTGATGGTTATGGCAATGTCAAAGAGCTTCTGGTAGCTCTCTTGATTTCTTTACTCATCTTGTCATTGATGGGCCTTGGTCCACAGAGCTACCTTTTGTAGTTAAAAAGACTTGTTATATGTGAACTAAAGACACTGACTGGGAAGGTACCATTAGAGGGGATTGTTGAAGCCACGTGCATGGTTGTGACTGCAGAGGGATTGTTAAGGATTGGGGGATGGACAGCAACTGTCCAGCCCTGTGGAAAGGCCATATCTGGGGCAGGGGCTCAGACTTTTTCTGTAAAGGGGTCAGTTCATAGTTTAGACCTAGAGGGCCACATAGCCTGTCACTGACTACTCAACTCGGACCTTGTCCTGTGAAAGCATCTCTCCAGGGGTTTCCCAGCCCCAGCACTAATGAGAAGTGGAACCAGATAATTCCTTGTTGTGGGGGGTCTGTCCTATGCATTGAAGAATGTTTAGCATCTCCCCTGTTCCTACCCGCGAAATGCCAGTAGCACCACCACCCCCAGTCACAAGAATCAAAAATATCTCCGGATATTGCCAAATGTCACCTGGGTGGGGGTGTGAAGTCACCCTCAGCAAAGAACTACTGAGCTACAGACAACATATAAATGAATGGGCATACATGTGTGCTAATAAAACTTTATTTACACAAACAAGCCAAGGTTTGGATTTGGCCCACGGACTATATTGGCAGATGCAGGGTCTAAGGGATGGATGAGGGGAAACTAAAAGGGTTTATTCAGTAACATGTGAGGGCCTCTGGTGATCATTGCCCAGAGGAGGTTCTGTCGGGAATCCATTGTAAGGAGGAGATTTTTATCAACAGTAGCTCTTACTCCTAGCACCTTTGCCTTCCTCATTTTTATTGAGCTTAACACCTACCTGAAGATACCGGACATAAAATCACAAAACCAGAAAACAAAAATAACAAATAATAGGCTCCTTAAGAGTCCTCAGAAAGCCTCCCGCCAGCACAGTACCGAGCCTGGATTACGTGAGGTGAGTTAGAGAATTTTCTCTGGGAAGGAAGTGACTAAAGCGGATCTTGAGGGATGTTATGAGTAGGGGTTGATGGTAAGAAGGTGGGAGGACATTCCACATAAGGAACACAGGGTTTTTAGTTTCAGAAAGTTGCAGGGAAGGGAAGTGTCCCCAGTGAGGGAAGGGAGCCATTGTCCCCAGTGAAAGCTGAGTGGTGGTTGTGCGCGCCCGGTGCACGTGCTTCCTCTGGGAAAAGAATTAACAGCGCTGAACGCCCTTTTCTAGAACAGGATGTTTGTTTCTCTCTTCAAGCCTCAGGGGGCTTTTGTCACTGCAAAATTTTAATCTTTTGGCTTTTCTTTTACATCAGGTCAAATTTCTTTTGACAAAATTCTTTTGGCTGGTGTCTAGGACCATTTTATTCATTCTTGGTTGCTGACAAGGTGCAGGTACTATCTCTGCCTCCCGTTGGTATTGAGATCATAGTGTATCGCTGCTTCTTTGTCCTGTCAGACCTGGAGGCAGGTAACCTGCGGTGGCCATTCCATCCTAAACTCACTTGCATGCCAGTTGTCATGTTAGCCAACCAGGAGCAATTAAGAGCACAGACTGTGGAGTCCAGTGGTGGCTGAATTCCTAGCTCCTCCACAGCTTTGGCTGATTGACCTGAGATATGGGCTTAATCTAAGATTGTTTCCTAACAGGTACGTTCAGTACCCGCCTGGCCCGTAGCAGACATTCACATGTTAGTCATTCATGTTCACCAGTGTAAATTCCTTAGAGAAACAGGCATTTCAATCTTGCCACTTCCTTGCAGATCCCCTATAGACTTGGACTGGGGGTTGGCACTTGGGGAGCAAACCAACTCATCCCTCATGATGGAAGGGTGGTAGGGGTTACGGGTTTAAAAACTTCTTGACTTGATGTTCACTGTGTACTCTGTATAGTGGGAGGGAAAGAGAAGATCCAATTTGTGTTCCATAGAAGAGCCTGGTTTGCCTGGTCTGAGAAGATGTTTATTCATTTATTGAACAAATATTTGTGTATAGATATTTCCGTACAAATAACACAAGGGAGCCTGCCTTGAAAGTAGATGGAGAATGGGATGGCCACTTCCGGCTTCCAAA